CTTAACCATATGCTGCTTCTAATAAACATGTTAAAGGAACACGTGAGTTGTCTGACTGAACTATCTTCATGGACTTTATGACTCAATTTTGTTGCAGGAGACGGAACTGAAGCAGACATTTTCTGTACCAGATAGTTAAGGGAGATTAAGATTTTCTCTCAGATGATGAGAGAGATGAGGATTTCACACATGGGATAGAAGAGTGTCAAGAAGAAGGGGGGAAAAGATGCAGGAGGCTCCATGAGCGCACAGATACAGAGAGACAGATAGGGACGAGCTGGAAAGACATGGCCCTCAGTGGGCCAAGAGTAGCACGTATGTCTTATTGTTGTTTTTATTTTAAGTGGAGCCATGAAAAATGAGAATTGCCTCAGGAATGCCAAGTTTGTTTCTATGAGCATGGTCAAATGGAGACCACATCCATAAAACTAGTCAAGATGACCCTACAGCCCGTGCCGACTGGAGTCAATGAGGTACTTTCCAACTACATCGACTACAAAGTGTTTGAAGATCTGGAAAGATTCACCAAAAAACAAACTCGTTTTTTAGTGACCAAATAAACAGCAATGTTCAGATCAATTACTTATTTATGTTTTAAATAAAGGTGAATGTATTATTGTATTAATATCACTCTATAACCATAATACGTTACATAGTCTATCTGTTCATTTTGACTGTCTTTTCAAACTAAAATGGTCCGGACGTCCTCTACAGTGGGCATACTGTAACATTTAAAAATTAAATAAAATTAAAAAAGTCTAAATTGCAAGATGTTTTTTGAACCCTAAATATGTAGGAAATCACACAAAAAAGGAAATTGGAAGACACTTTTTTTCCTCGGGTCCCAGCAATACATATGACTAAAGGATAACTTAAAACTTTCTCTCTAGAGTTATTTCATCTATGCTAACATGTTTATTGTGTACAGAGTATTTAACCAGGTCACGTAGCTGACTGGTAAACATCTTAAATCACTCAATTGAATAATTGATCTGCCTTCTGCTTAGAGATTCAATTTGACAAAGACAACAGCGAGTCTGGTGTGACTTTTGGAACCAAAACAAGGCTCACTCTACAGGACTTTTTTGCATGTTAATAGCTGAAAAAACCTCAAGCATGATTACTTGAAGGCAAATAAACAAAACTGCATGTTTGTGCACCAATTTTAACCTTTATCGTAACATTGTTGTTTACCATTTACCTGAGATCAGATGGGGAAACGGAGAGTGTGAGAGCAGTTTCTCACCAGGCTGTCCTTTTGTGACACCGAGGGTGAAAACCTGACTGACACCTTAAACCTCCCGAGGGGATTTGTGGGACTGTGAGTGGAATGAAGGATTAGGGTTTTAGCAGCACATGTAAATGGCAGGTCTGTGGGTCAGTGGGTCAGTATATCAGTGAGTCAGTAGGCTTTTATTTTTCCCAGATTAGGTTAAGCACTCTGCTTTTCTTTAGTGGGGCCAATGCAAATTCTTTCTGGTGTCAAAGAGTAAGTTTCCAACAGTCTTTGGACATTGATGAAAATACATTCAAAATAGATTAAAAAGTGTACATTTGTTAAGTGACTATTCAAGACAATGATATTGAACATTAATATTTAGAGAATATTTCACAGGGATCTGCAACTGTTGAATTACTCATCCTCTACAAAATAGATGTAAGTATATTGTGTGAAAAATAATAGCCTGTTAGTCTTGGTCTTTTGGAGCATAACAAATCAATTGAATTTGGCGTTACAAGATCCACAGATATTTTCAAGCACATTAAGACCAGCTTCCTTCATCCTCATTGCAAAAAAAGAAATGTATACACGTCTTAGGGTTTTAAAACAGGCAGATATTCTTGTTTTTATTTACCCAAGTTTTAGTTTTAAACTATAGTTTTAGTGCTCATCCATCTTGTGCTCCTCTAATACAATGGAGGTAAATGGAAATATTTTTGTGTCACTGGACACATTAGAATATTAGTTTGAAAAGTGAGCATCAATGTCAACACTGTGGAGAGTGTTCCTTACGTTTTGATTCTGCTTAGTTCCCAGTGAAAACCTGTGGGACTATCTTTGTGGTAGAAAGTGGATAAATGGAAATGGAGGATTTTAATGCTCTTTATATCATCACACATACACCGCACAGCACACATAATGAAATGTAGACTCTGCATTTAACCCATCCTAGTATTAGGAGCTGCTATACATACATTACTGTATATTTACTTTGAGGACTTGAATCACCCTCCGGTTCCCAAGCCAATTCCTTACGGACAAAGCAGAACTGCAGCTCCTCCCAAAATACTAACATGAACTGGGAAAAGTAATCTTGTAGTCTTAGGTCACTTGTTATCTTAAAGTGTTGAGCGCAATTCAAGAACTACAAATAGTAAAAGTTAGAAATATCTGGTGAAACTTTTAGAAACTTAAGTGCAAGATATGCTTTTCATTCATTTGAGATGAGTTTCCCATCACTTGTTTTCTGGTAAAAAAACAAATGGTTTTACCATGGTAGTCAAGTACTACCATTATTTTGTTCAGCACTAATTATTTTCAGTCAGAAAAGTGAAGATGTGAATTCACATTAGAGTTCACCATCACCCCAGAAGGGGGTGCTGAATACCTGGACTGCTGCAGTTCAAACCTGGAGGCCTGCATAACGTTTTCAACCAGTAAAACATGCATTAAGAGAACTTTACCTGGCATCATACTGAAACATCGCACATAGGGATACTTACATTATCCTAGGCTAATTATGTCCTTGAAAAAAGTACTTCTTTTTGGAAAGATTATTTTGTAGTGAGTGTAAGAAGATGTAATGTTTGATTTGTGTGTCTGCGGTAGGTTAATACCTTTGTGAATTGAATGAATTACTCTCACTTTATATTCACAGTGACGTGGAGCTTACAATGCTGAATAGAAAGTTGTGAACCTATAACAACTATATATGTGTAGGTATGTTGCAGTTGTGTGTTTCCTCTCAATTAAAACAATCGTAACACAACACACATACATGTCACGTTTCCTTTTAAGTCATGAACTATTATGCAAGTGCATCGTTTATAACAACTAAGAGAAGACAGCAATGTTTTTTGAGTTAGAATGGAGATACAGTTCAGAGAGATCAGTAGGTATAATGTAGATTGGGTTCACCTTGTAGAGGAAACTTCTGTGTAGCATGCAATGGAGTCACCGACTCAGGAAGGAGACACGGGAAGAGTCGGAGCTTTGATGTCAAACCACTGTGATTTATTTGGAGTTGGTACCAGAGTATTCACATCACAAATCCAAGAGTCAGAGGTTCTGACTCCACGGTAGAGTTGCCATGTCAATTCTGGAGAGCCTCTCTCTTGCCAGCCCATCTAACTGGTTTCGCAGAGAGTAAACAACATATTTGAGAAGATAGCCTAAACAGTGTGTGAACACTGAGCTACTTGCGTCGGACACTTATGACCTCGAAGATTTTACCTTGGAGTCCACAAATACAGAGAAGGAAGTGTCCCAGTGTACCCACAACACAGACCATCTGTATCCCAGTATTGACCGGTCACAGAATGGGAACAATAACATTATTGGCTAAGCCGCCTGTGTCCTTAAAGAAGGTAAACAGACATCAAGGTTTGTCCTGTATGTTACAAATTGGCGTCTATGATAATTATTTCCATAACACACCTGTAATGCCCCTCCTCACATAAATGCAGCCTGAAATAAAAGTAATCATGTGACGCCAACATGAAACTTGTGTTTAGGCCTACATTTAATGTCTTTGTTGTCAGATGTAAGATGTTGAAGTATTGCTCCACCTGAATTTCCACAGTCTTGACTCTTAACGTTACCATTTAACACAATTTGCTATAGTGTTGTAATGTTTGCTTGAATAAAATCCTGCATCAGCCTTGTTTAGCCTTTGTGGAAGAGGTGCTCTGGACTGCTTTCCATAAGCAAACATGTTATGAGAGTGGCTGAGGACAGGGTAATATAAGTGGATGTTAATGGGTGACCAAATATTGTGATTGATATGTCATCTACCAGTAATGCACAACGACAGTCCTCAAAGTATATTTGTTATTTTCTTCTTGTCATAAGTATTGTTATTCATTACTATAAGAGGACAAACCACAATGGACCAAATATTTTAACATGCTATTGGTGAGTTATTATTGATGCTTAAGTATTTGGTTGAATATAGTTATTCTTATCATAATAAATAATGCATTTGACCAATGGTGAAATAACTCAACCACTAGTGGCTTAGACATTAAAATGTATTTTGCAATATGTATGACTGTACAACTGTACAACTTATTTGTTCTGATTATAGTCCAATTGTGATGGTGTAAGGACAGCAGGCTGTAGCAGGGGCGTTGGCAAATGTTGGCAGTGAAGGCCATTATGTCTAGACTGTTTTTTATCAAGTTAAAGTCAAGGATTTTAGCAATTGATTTTTCGAGCATTAATTTTGAGATGGTTTTGAAAAAATGGGACATTGGCTAAGGTAAAATAAAAATCATAGTTCACCATATAATGATGTGAGCTTGCCAAAATCAGAAATATTTTTATTGTTTCTTTAATAACTTGATTGTTTATTTCTATATTAATGTTTGAGCTTTAAAAAATGACAGCATGCCAAGAGACTTTGACAACTGTTGACACACCAAACACAGAGAGTCCATAAAGCCACTTCCACTATTTGTATGAGCAAACATGCCTTTGACACACAGACAGTCCCAATGTGTGCATGCAACTTGTTTCGAATGTTGGGTAAAATTGGAAGTCTGCAAAGAATAACACTGACTTAGCTTTTTAGTAGTGGTTAAATGTATACTTATACTTCTTTAAAAAAATGATTTGTAAAAAGTGTATAAAAACATATAAAAACTGAAAATGGTTTATTTTCTCTGCTGGTCAGTTTAAATTGTATCCATTTTCATATTTACCCTTTTTCTTTGTGTTCTAGGGTTGTTTTAATTCTAGCAAAAGAGAATAAAAGATAAAGAAAATCGAAATAACCAGGTCAATTTAAAATATTCATTTATTTATTAACAGTATACTGTGCTATAATCACATCATGTCAGCACATTGCGACAAACATTTTGCATTGAAGTAATATTACAACTCATACATTATGCTCATAATAGCATTATATAAAAATAAAGACAATAATTACACATTTCAATTGACACAAAATTATAATCCTGACTCCATTTCCACCAGTTACAGTATACAGAAACTCTATATATGTGCTCTGCAAAAACATGCAATACAACGCATTTAAACTCAATTAGAGCTTGAGAAAATAAGATGATTGACATAATGCTTTCTGTAGGCGCAGTATCAATAGTTTTCCGTTAGATTTATAAGTAGTAGAACCCTCTAGCAGAATTTGCTCTTAAAATACAGTAGGGTGATAAAGTGCTTTATAAGTTATGTTATGATGGTGCCTCAATGTTACATTGAGTCATGGGATAGGGGGTGCTTGCAAAATAAAATAATACACAATAATGCAATTGGTTTACAAGATAATAATACAAGAGAAGCTTTTAGAGGCAACAGATAGCTGGAACAAGTTTGTGGGCTATTTGGACATAAATGTTATGAACAATCTTGTAAGGCAAAAAGCCCAAGTATGTTTGCCATCAAAATAACATTTGTGCAATGCCAGTACAATCCAGAAAATCCAGAAAACATCTTTGGCTTTTCCAACACTTGGTGTAAACATAGGCAAGAAGTAAGGCCTGTGACTCAGGAATTTACTATAAATATATTATTATATCTTTGTAGTCCATATACGATACATTATTGTAAATAATACATTCTTCCTACCATGAAATGACATCATTTTTTGAAAATGTAAAATGTTCTCCATGTCCGTCACGTGTTGCATTGTGAGGCAAAAGTGCTCATTAACTTTAAGTTATTTTAGTGTAGATGCTGGCATTTTTCAAAGTATATATCTTACTTAATATTCTTTAGGATTGGACATAGTACTTTTTACACTCACTTATAAATTGTAGGACTATAAATGTGTACTATTGGGTAACAAAGAAGTTTAAAAAAAAAAAAAGAATACCAGATTGCTCCTAATTTGACATCATCCAAGAAAACTTTAGACTTTGAGATATTAATGCCAACATGCAAACCCACATGCTATGTGACCTGCCTCACAGACCTTCACATTAACTGACACTGAGGCAATAGCTAAATGTTTGCTCACGCTGCTGAGAAATGACCTTGGGTTCATGCTGTCAGAGATAAAGTTACCCAACTGATTAGCCGACTTGTGTAAATAATACAGTGGAGATGCTGATCAAACTAATTTCAACATACGTGCATCATTGGCTCAGACAGAACTCAGGGCTAATTGAACATGGTCAAAGCGTGACAAGTTCAAACATTCACCATAACTTCACAATACAATTAAAAATGTCTTTGGGTGTAATTCAAAAGAAAAACCCAAAATAAAATACAAAAAGGTTTGACATAAAAAGACAGCATTAGTCACTCAGTAATAATACTCACTAATACTGGATTATCTTTGTGCCTTGACACAAGTTGAAGGCATACTATAAGGTTATTTTAAAAGCCTCTCTTTAACAGGTCAGTTCTACACCAAATGTCTTTGGACTGAATTCCACTGAAATCCAGCAGCAATTGTAAAATACAAAATAAATAATCTAAACATGACGAAAATGAAAAAGAAAATGCATCTTTAAAATGAACTACAGTGAGGGCATTACATTAATCTCTTAGTGTTTCATATGACCTCCATAAGCAGTGTCTTAAGCCGGACTAATAGCCACTTTACAGCTCTATATTTGGTTTACGATAATATCACAAATATTCTTTTTTCTATTGTATGTCTTTTAACGTTTCTTAGTTTATTAACTTTATTTTATAGTGCCTCGGTTTAAAAAAAATGGTCTTCATTGAGACTCAGTGTAACATTTTCTCTCAAACCCTTCTCTCAAAATCTAATGAGTGACAAACTGTGATAAAACAGAAAGATCTCTTGGTCTATTCCTCTAATTGTTTATGTATGTGTAAACTGCTAAATTATGTGTTGTTTTATTATTTATATATTATTTCTACACACTTGTGTGTTTTATTTGGGAAGAAAAGAGTACAAGTAACAGCGTATTTAGAGTTATTTGTTGTCCCAAATAAGATTTACTCCTCCTCTGTTATCATGTATTATCATTCTGTCTAATTATCCCATATTAAAAAAGTATTTGTTAACTATAACATATATTTACAAATCCTTTATGTACATCCACAGGAATCCACTATCATATCAGGGACGTCCGTTTGGACAATGATGTGCTGGGAGTTGAAGTACACCATGGAGAGTGGCCGTCGCTCAGTAGGAACACAACATGAAGATACATCTGCGTTAATGCCATTGATTTTCAGCTGGCTGAAGACAGTGGCATGGAATGAGGATGCTATGCCCGGGGATCCAGCCAGATGCTGGAGGCACTGACCCATGCAGTAGTTCATATGGTAGCCCTCAGGTGCAATGATCCAGTCATTCCACTGGATATCTTTAAAATTTATGTAGAATTCTCTCTTACAGCACACGCTTACATCTTCACCACAACGTACCGAGCGCTTCCTGAGAGAGTGTTTGGAGTAGTCTTCTCGGAGACGCAGCTGGGCAGCCAGGAAGGGCTGGTTGAGGGTGTCGGTAGAGCCATCCAGGGAGCAAAGGTTCTTCCCATCCTCATCGCAGTTTACCTCCAAACGCAGTTTGTGCCGGGCCCCTTCCAGAAAGGCCTGCAAGGTGCGGGTGATGGGGAAGGTGTGCCAGTTACTCACCTTGACCTCCAGCATCTTTTCCATCACCAGGGTGCGGTTAGCTCCTGGCACCCCAGCTTCTGCAGAGAGAAACACCTGAGCAGAGAGGCGGGAGTCTCTATGGCGGTCCTCAGAGGAGCGGACATAGATCCACAGAGAAGACTGGAGCACCTGGATATTTTGCCCTTGCTCCTGTAGAAACTGGAAGGCAAGGCTGAGGCTAGCTGCATCCCCACTCTCTGTCTCATCTATGGATCAATGACATTTTGAGGACAAAGACTGTGATTATTCTGGAAATGCTAGAGACACCTGTTGCACAAGCAATTGGGAAATACATTTAAAGAAATGCTTGTAAAATAAAGCTGCAGGTTTAGGTCAAAAATATAGGTATCCCTCCACCCATTTCATGCATTTCTCGTATCATTTTGTTATGGTTGACTCTTAAAATGGTGATGACAGATACTGTAAATAAGCTGTTACAGTGTTTGAAGGAGTACAACAACCCTAAGAGGCTCAATGAATCCCTGACCTAATTTGTGTCAATGTTAAGCACTGACATGCGTGAAGAGCCCACACCATGTGCACATGTGTTTTAGTGCCATAAGGAAAACATTTTTAAAGTGTAAAATGAGAATACCAAACTTACTTAGATCTGCAAAGCTCACAATTTCATAGCTTTGATCTTTGGGTAAACTGTTTTCTGGTTCCAAAGTACCATCCTGTCGGACGCGCCCAGAGTGCAGTTTGCGCAGCGCAGTGAGGAGCGCTGCCCGGGGAACCGTCTGAGTGATGTTCGGTCTTTCTTTCAGGTGCAGCTTGTCTAAAAGTTGCTGCTTGACGATTTCTATCATATGCCTTTCTTCTGCGGTTCTTTCCATAGCGGGCACGCCACAGGACGCACAGCCCGGTGATCCACTGACCCAGAGACCTTGCAACAGGAACAAAGTGAATAAAAAAGAAGGCGTCATCTCGGACTCCAAAGTAAACAAATGCATGCCTGTGTGCAGCGTTAACAATGAAATATTTGTTCTGAGATTTTGGAAGTCTCAAGTTTCTCAAATATTTCAGAAGCCCTGCTTAAAAGCTGGAGAACACCGTGAAGAGAGGAGTTGAGGAAAAGGAATGATGTTTGGCCCACCCAATGGTGAAGATATCTGGGGTAATCCATGAAAACTGGTGACACGTTGGAGGGACGCACCAATGAGCGCATTTGGGCACCGAGGAAATTGCTGGCAAGTGTGCCCTGCTCTCACGCAAGAGATGGCAAACGGTATCAATACGACTTCTGCCAATGACACACCTGGTAAATGACCCACTCGCTGCTTTGCATTAACTATTTCGACTGTTTAAAAGTGACTTGATTAATGTTGATAACCTGGATCGTTACCTGCCTGCGTTTGATTGATTGATTGAAAAGTTTATTAACAGCTTGTATATTGGGTACAGTATAGTACAGCTCAAAACATACAATTGTTAAGGGAATGCAGACCAGAGAAAGACTTTCGTCTTGTTTACATCAGGGTCCCCCATTTCCAATTCATCATGTCATTTAAGACATATAAGACATATTTGACATACAGATGGCTTATTTACAATTTACATACAGGTGGTTTTTTACATACAGATTGCTTATTTACAATTTTCATTTTAGATTTCGTTCTAATACATCCTAACCGGACAATTAAGACATACCAAGTCTACAGATATTCAGTTATCATAGTCTAAAATGCGAGTATATACATAGATGGGGGGGGGGGGGGGGAAGCTGTCCATCGTTTAAGGAGAGGTAGTCGCCTGATAGCCAGGGGCTATAGGCAACTTGCCACCAGCCTCGCCGACCAAAGTTGAGATTCAGTTCCCTTTAACCCAGTTACAGAATACTCGAGCCACACAGCCATCAAACAATTGTAGTTCAAAACGTGCACAGCACATGTGCTGGAGGCAGGGCCGGCCCTGACCAATTTGCCGCCCTAGGCAAGATTTTAGTTGGCGCCCCCCCCCCCCCAAATGCAGACACTCACTATGATTCGCGCGTGCACGGTTTTGGCATGACCACCAAAACAGAAAGATATTGACACAAGATGTGTGCAACTGTATTTAGTTTCCTATCCATTTGAACATGATTCTAGGGGGTCCGGGGGCATGCACCCCCGGGAAGCCTTTTTTTTAAATATTGAAGTTGAAAGCATCAATCTGGTGCACTTTGAGAGCAACATTAGGAGATCTATGGATACATCTCTCAACACCCATATGAAACAGAACTGTAAGCCGATTTTCTTTTTCTTTATGGATATTTTACAAATCACTCCCCTTTCAAACTGTATTCTTGTTTATTAATAACAACTTTTTTGTACTGTCAGTATTTTATACCTGTTTTTCACCTATTCTCTTATTTTTTTATAACTATAATGATCATATAAAGGTGTGCCTTTACCTCACTGAGCTGAGGTTATCAGAGCCTCTCAGTCTTTCAGGAGAGAGCTCTCTGAAGCTCTCACCCCCGCGGCCGCTTACAATGTAAATTCCAATGTTAATAAAAGCACACAGAAGCTGTGCACGTTTTTTGGGAGTTTGATTTATTTTAAATGAATACAAATACAAAATTAAAACCTATAATTGCACACTAAAACCATTATTTAAAAAAAAGAACAATTTCACATAAACCTCTGTTTTTTACTGGGACTGGGGTAGTTCAACTTGATTTTTTTGGGGGGGGGTGTGTGCCATAGTTTATGAGCGCTGTACGCAATATAGGCGTAGTTCTGTTAGTATAAGATAATAAGATGTACTTTGTTGATCCAAAATCGGGAAATTGTGTTTTTTTTTAACATTTTCGGCGCCCCCTATGGGTTGATGCGCCCTTAGCATTCGCCTATACTGCCTATGCCGAGGGCCGGCCCTGGCTGGAGGCTGTGAGACGGGTGACAACACGTTCCGTCATGTTGGCATATTAGTGTGTGTGTGCGTGTGTGTGCGCGTGTGTGTGTGTGTGTGTGTGTCAGAGATGAGCGATTAATGACTGTCTCTGTCATGAAGTTGCAAACAAGTCGTCTTTTTGAGATCACAGCATTTTCTGCAATGGGCTTAAAATATTATCCATGTTGCCATAACGTTTTTTTGTGAATCTGTTTAAAGGACATGGCTCCTCCTCATATGACATAGATCTACAGCACACATATTGATCCCAATGTAGCCTATACCTATATTAACATAAAGCCATAACGTGCGTTAATTATCTAAGGGAGCCCAACTGCTATGCAACCAGAAGTAAAAATAATGACTTCAGAAATGCTTTAAAACTTACAAAACATTATATGTTGATTTAACAATTTCTGTAAAATTAAAACCCATTTTAATGTTTAGCATTTCATATGAACACTTCTAAAACAATCGGTATTAACAAACACATTTACTCAGGACTTTTCATAAATGTATGCTTTAGGGTTAAATATGAGGTTGAGCGAAGGTCTTAAGATGCTTGGAAGAACTTGCCTGCCGACATGTGGGGAACTTTGGGAACTACAAAAAAATGTATTGAATTGGTGCCTTTGAATAAGGTGTACAAATTAAAGGTGTATAGACAAAGTAGTACTTTACTCAACACCTACTTTTTTTATGAATTCAATATGAATCTGAATTTGACACTTTAATTACAATTTAGAGTAGCCCATAGGTTTATATATCTATATTAGGGCTGTCAGTCGATTAAAATATTTAATCGCGATTAATCGCATGATTGTCCATAGTTAATCGCGATTAATCGCAAATTAATCGCACATTTTTTATCTGTTCTAAATGTACCTTAGAGGAATATTTTTCAAGTTTGTAATACTGTTATCAACATATGAGTGGACAAATATGCTTTATGCTAATGTTTATTATCATTTGAACAATGCCAAATATTCTCATGAATATTAAACACAACAACCTCTGAATATTACAAATATTCGCCTCAATTCAACCTGGAACCTCTCTCATACAATAATACAATACAAATGGTGTGTGTGTGTGTGTGTGTGTGTGTGTGTGTGTGTGTGTGTGTGTGTGTGTGTGTGTGTGTGTGTGTGGTGTGTGTGTGTGTGTGTGTGTGTGTGTGTGTGTGTGTGTGTGTGTGATGGATCGTTGGCGCTATGTGCAACTCAAGGCATATGCTCGAACGGGAGCTGCGTGGACGCTGCAATCATGTTGCGCACTATCCGTGCTGAGTGTGCTGACTTTTCGTACAATGTCCCACTGTCTGGCTACCTGCATAAAGTCAAGTGCTCGGCACAGTTGTGGCGAAATGTCGCTCCTCTGTTTTCATTTAAACAGCTCCTTCTATCCATTAGCGCAGCTAGCTAGCACCAGATGCTAACAACAACAATGCACGTAAGGTCTCTCTCTCGCTCGCTCGGGCCACACATACACACACCCTCCCGGTCCTCCCAATAGCCAGTCGGTGCCTGCCGGTGAGCGTGGAAGTGTGGTCTGCCACAAGCGGGCGGCAGGAGCGGGGCTGTCAGCATCAGCTTGTAGATGGTATTTTAAACTCGATGCGCTCTGAAACTACGGGGCGGCCGAGGAAAAAAATACACATGCGTTAATCGCGTTAAAATAATTAGTGGCGTTAATTTTTTTTTGCGTTAACGCGTTAACTTGACAGTCCTAATCTATATATATATATATTGTAGGTCCATTCATTATACAGGATTCATGATATTATTTTAACTGTTTTCATAAAATGATAAGGTTTACAATTCATGATGCCTTTTAACCTTCATTGCTTTCCAAAATAAGTATTTTCAAAACAGAAGAAGAAGCACCTTGAGATATCAGAGTCAAATCGCTTTTATTTGCCAAGTGACTCATTCCAATACAAATAAAAAGTACTACATTATGACAGATAATGTACTACACATTCAATTATTGGGACGAGTGGATATTGTAAGGTCAGACCAAACTTTATTCATTTCAAAGGACATTCTTGTGCCAGAATTGCAAAAAAAATTAGAACAACGTACGAATAATTGTTTTTACAATAGAGTAATACAAGTACACAAGTGTATGAGAGGGTAATTCTAACAAAAGATGCATTCAGAAGATAGACAGATGTTCAGTAGTTTATTTATATTTAGTGTGCACAAACGGTATAAACAACTTTACTGTACCCTGAACGTCTCCCTGCGAATGTGAAGTACGCCGTTGACGTAAACTGTCGGTGAGGGGAAAAAAAAAAAAAGTGACGCTGACACACATACATACAAGCCTGAGCCGAGAAGGGGGAATAGCGTTTTGTTTCTTTTTTCTTTAATTTGTATCCTTTTATTCTTTGGCGTTGTGTTGTTACTTCGCTGAATTCCTGCAACGACTATCAACTGCCTCGCTCCTCAGCTCGTGCTCTCTATAGTTAACGTTCATGCCGCTCTCCCCTCACGCGGCGCTATTTTGACAGTCGGGGTCGCAGCTAGCAGCTCCATTATTTTAGCATTGGTAAGTCATTCGGAAAGCTAGCTTACCATTCCAGCTAGCACCTCCTATTTTAAGACCTGACAGTGCTGCTAGTACAGGTTTACAACAAGGTACGCCTTCCTGTAAACATATGCTTCTTCGTTGGCTAACCAGTTGTATTATACAGGCACAGTTTTGTTAACGTAGGGTTGCTAGCGTACACTGAAAATAAAAGGCTAGCTAGTGGGCTAACATTAGCTAGGTTTGCTAGGTGCTGTAGGTGGCTAATTATACTCGCCGGAGGAAGCAAGCTAATACCGTGAGCTAGCTATTGTTAGCGTGTGGGCAAGCTAATATTTTCAGTCACTTGCACAGCCACGGCTCTGACCATACTGCCATCTGTTTTCTACAGACACTACTTGAAGGATTCTCCACTCGGTACATACGGACAGGAAAGTGGTGAGTTTAACCTTTTAAGATGACTTGAGATAACTTATATTCGATTATCAGTGATTTTGGGTCAGATATATAACGTGACATTAAGCACCATCTTTAAAGTCCTCGATCTCCATGCCTGACACGAGATGGCTATGTTAAAAATCTTATCCTTCTAATCTTAGCTGGGAGACGTGACTGAAACTCGGTGCTGGACTGCGTAACTAGGAATAAAGTGATTAGCGAATTAGCTGGTCTAATCAAAATGAATTTGGAAATTGTTTGTAGCTGTTCGTGGCAATCACGCTGAAAGCCCACCTTAGCTGGTGACAACAAGGTGTTATTGGCTTATTGCCATATCCGTGCTGGTATACTGCATGTTTGTGTTCAGAAACGACAGCAAATAAGGTGCAGATGCAACACCAAATCAGCTGGAAGTAAGAACGCCCCTAGCTTATACTAATAATTGTATGTGTGTGGTGCATGAGGGTCAACTGAAGTGAGCTGATGTATAATTATGGGCTCTGTTGATTGCATTAAACATTGCATACTTCCGTTGTCATCCTCAAAACTAAAGTAATATTTATCGTCCAAGGCCTGGCTCAGTGTGGCATTTTCTTTTTTGACTCTGTGTGATAAAACGCACACAATTGAGGAGGATTCAACTAGGAATTAGGGTTTTGTAGAGAAAAATACTTGACTATTGGTCTTTTGTGTTTTGGCTTTAGCTCAACATGTTGATACTCAAGCTGGAAATGGATGGCAAGACTGTTGTGTCGAACTAGGTGGGATCACAGCACAGACTTTCAGAGCTGTGATTACAACATCTGCTCTGGGAAAACAGCATGTGTGTCGGGGAAAATACATATTCATTACAATAGGTCATTCGTGTGATGCAGTCAATTGGAAAGTGGCAGGCAAGGACTACAATAGATGCATTTGATGTTGCGACTCTCTTTTACTTTGTAGACTGATCCAAGTAAGTATTACAGGTTCACCTACAGAGCAATGTCAGTACTTCTATGGTAAAGCATTGGTATACACACAGTGCTACGTTTTGTACCAGATATGACCTCATTATAGTTTTTGTCTTCTTTGGCAACCTTTCTTTTCTAACTAATACCGAGTAAAATCGCAGGGGAAAGGGTAATATCATTAAGAAAAGGCTTATCCGTTTTAAGAACTGATGGAGGTGAGTCATTGAATCAACAGTCTGCTGTTGCTAAGGCCAGTAATAAGAAAGATGGCGTATCCTGCCTCCCTGTCAACATGCCCCCCCCCATACCAATCAATTGTTAAAACGGATGTTTTGGATGCACTAGGATAATACTTGAATATGAGATTTTATTTGCTTAGTAGTGTGCTTATTGATTTTGTGTTTGTTTGCAGGGTACATAACTATTAACCGATTATTTATTCATACATCAGTTGAACATGTCAGTTCATGTGTTGCATGTAACCTACTTGCAGCACATTACTTTAACTGTATCCACTTCCTATGATCAAATATGTTTACAAGCCAAGATGGGTGGTGTAAAAGCAATTTGAATGCTGTTTTCTACGGAGTGGTGTAATTTGAAATAGGCAGCTATTAGCCCATAAGCAATGATCTGTACTGTCAGCGAGGTATCCATATCTCCTTCCGTCTCTGAGTTTCTGTTTGCAGCAGCATAAGCAGAAGAGGCTTTTTCTAGAGAGATTTGAAGAGCTATTTATAGATCTCTGCCAGAGCACCAAGCGTGGTGCTGTTGCTGCTGCTCCTATGTCTCTCTTCTCTGTCACTCCTGCTTCTGTTTCTCTGTCCCTCTCCATCTTTATTCGTCTCCTCTTTTCCTGTTGTCTTGGTTTTCAAAGCTCCCATTCTCTTTGTCTTCCTATGTCAGTCACTGTATCTCAATCCTCTGTTTCCATATTCTTTCTTCTTTTTCTGCTTCAATGTCAATTATTGATCAGAGCAGAAGGGGAGGCGCCTGGACTGTGCTGTCTGATTGTCTTTAATGTAATTGGCTCAAAACTGGAGGGTTTTCATATACTAGTTCAAAAGGGAAAAAAACACATTTTGAAATGTACAGATGAATTTAGTGTTTGAAAGAGTGTCTGTTTTGTTTTTTATTAGAACAGCTTTGGAAAAAACAAACAAAGGTTTTAGAAAGATAATCAACTACTTCATGCAAGAGTCCCTTCATTTGATTAGGGGCACACTAGGCCTTGTGTAACCTATTCTAAATGAAAAGTCAATATGAAACTAGTTGTATTTAGTGAAGCCCTGTTTGCTTTGTAAATAATAACCATTTGTATAGTCATTAATTATAACATTACATCAGTCATGTGTTGTGTGTAGAGACTGCAACATCTTGTGATTGTGTTCAAGAACGGTTTATCTCCGGTATCTTTGGCAACTGATCCTTGCTCTGCTCCTCCCCCTTTTCCTTCCTGCTTTATAAGCCCTTTGCTGTCCTACCTTGCTGTCCTCTGAAAGAGGCTACCTGGCCGCCCAAATGCAGAAGAAGCTTCTGAACTTGGTTTGAGGAATTAGCTGGCATTAGTGCATACCATCCTCTTTATCCTAGTCATGTGGTCAAACCTGCTGGGATTGCAGTCATTGGTTGGTTCCTCGTCCTAACTTGGCTAGGTTAGATAGAAGGCCAGTTGTGAGCTACACATTAGTCTACGTTGTAACTATGCTAAATGTATACACTTTAAAAGGCAAATATACTGTTTATTCTAAAACAGAATATAGGCTTACTGTATTAGCCTGGACAGGCTTTTAAACACCAACAACTTTATACTCATGCTGACGAAGAACATTGCCTTGCTAAATGGCAATAGTCGAATTTAAGATTTGCTTCTTTAGTGGCAAATCTTAGTGGCAGACATATTCTTGGCAAATGAACAGCACCATTTTTGCATCAATTGTACTGGTTTTGGCTAGAGCAGTGTAGTGTCCTTGGAAATCAAGAAGGAAATATTGTCATGCTCCGGAATGATCTAATATTAGTATAAGGTTCCAGCACCAGCACACAACAACAATGTGTATTCAAACTTTAATGCAAGTGCTGAAAGTAATTGCATAATGTGCCCATCAGGCTTGGAATTTCATCATTTTAGGGGCAAGGCCATTTGGCCTTCCCATTCACATTTTTTTTAAGGGCACAAAGGCCACATGACAGGGCACAAAGGCCACATGACAGGGCACAAAGGCCGTTTGGTTAAGTTACGCTGGTCAATCAACATGACTGAAAAGTGTAGCACTAACGTCAACACCAGTCGTTTTACAAATGGCTGAATAGCAATAGTGTTTCTTTAACGTATACGTTAAGTTCAGCCATAAACCACATAAGTCAGTCATGTATTATATCAAAACCGCTTAGCAAGAAAAATACTAGATTCAAAGGTGACAGCTATCTGCTAGCTTGTAGAAGCAACACTAGATGTAGACCCCTTGAAGGGAAGACGTTAGCGCTATCCAAACTAGCTAGCTATCCCTAGTTTTCATGACAAAATGTAACGAGTCGACTTTAAATAGGCTAATACAATGGTAATTACCTATCAATAGTACTTTCTATAAACACGTAAATGTTAAGTCCTTTCAAATACTACCACATACTTCAGTTAAATCATATCAAAACAGCTTGGTCCGCTTGCTTACCTGTGCTTGTCTTGCTCCCGCGGCTGAGGAGCAGGCTGTCGGGCCCCTACAGGCATTTCTGACGGAACAATCACAGCAGAGCAATCGCTCTGATCCACAGACACGGGACTATCCTACTGCGCGCACTAGTATGACTTCACTAGCGTTGTTTACACTGGAACTTTTGACAGGGGCACCAAGGCCACTTTGGCCGTGAATTGCATTTTTTTTCACAGGGCATCACGGCCAAAGTGCGGGGCAACGACGGCCATGGCCGTCGTTGCCGTCGTGAAATTCCCACCCTGGTGCCCATCCATCTTTACTTTTATAAACTATGAAAAGGATTCTTCTACCAGGCAGTTATACCACAGATGGGCTTTCACATATTATACATTGAAAACACAAATACAGTTTAAGTGAGGAAAGAATGAGATGATACACAGTAAATCCACAAAATCCAGTAATGAAAGCCCTGCGTGTTGACCGGGCACCCAATAACTCCAACAACTTGGGTTGAATGCAAAACTCCAGTTGTCATTTTGGAAGAACTGGACCTTTTCCTGTCACCATCCCTGAACACAGGGTTGCTAATTAGAAGTGTTGACCTATTGTACCTCTGATTATGCACATATCAACCTGTGCATTGCATCTGATGAAGTTGTACAAAATTATCTTTATTTTGCATATAGGTTCAAACTTTTCACAGAGCAGTTGATGTCTAGAATCATTGAGTGTGAAAAAGTATGGAAATAGGAAAGTCATTTTTATTGTTGTGTGTTGAAGAGATAGTAGAAAAAGATAGACAAAGCTGTTTTGTTGCAGTTTGTTATCTTCCTGTCTTCATGTACACCAGAGCATTCCTATGTGTAACCAATGGTGTGGTTACCTTGCAAGCCAAAGATGTTCTTAATTATCTTACTGTTTATTAGTTATCCTGAATGTAGCAACAATTGTACAACTATTGTTTTAACTTTTAAACATCAGTCTGGTCACTGGTACTGGAATATAATTCAGGACTGTAACACCACCTTAATTGGCACTATTTATATTTTGCCCAACAAACCTTGTTGCATTCTGTCAATTTAAAGAACTCATCCATCTAGGAGACAGACATACCTGGACTTGTCTACCTTACCATGAGTTCCCTGCCGGTTTCCTTTGACGCTGAACTTTTGACTGCCTCTTCCACTGCGTCTTTCAGCTGCTGTTTTGCAGTAGGGGAGCTGCAGGGAAAAGATGCAAATATGTCCTCTTGTGGGATTAAGGTTTTCCGAGTTAATGAGGTGGTTTCATTATTTCCCCCCACAATTTATTTTCTTCAAAACCCTGCTTTTTTATTATTTATTTTGGAAAGTTGCAGCAATGCTCTGTTTCACCAGCAGCTGTCAGTACTTTG